GGATATTATTTCCCTGACCCTTAGGGCATCGTACCGCATGATCTCTGTCCCCCAGTTCCCCATAATACTGACCAGGTAACGTGGTCTTCTACTCTTTTCAGCCTTTACCTGGCATCTTTCTCTTAAATTATGTCTCACCCAGGTGCTCCTATAGATGGCATTGCATATGCCAGTCTTGAGGGAGGAGGGGTGTGATGGGGAGGAAGGCCATATCTAGGTTTCCCTCAGAAATCAAGAGATCTCAGCAGCTTAGAGAAAAATCCCATATAGTGACCCTCTGAATCCAAGAAAGGATGCTTTATGGAAGGCTAGGAAAGACCTCAAGTGCTCAAGATGACACTGGAGAAAGAGAGAGAGACAGAGAGACAGAAGAGCCTTTGGGCAAAGCAGTCCTAAGCCAGGAAAAGAAAAGAGGGAACCGGATTCCCTAGGGGAACGTGACATTCTCAAGGATGTGAAGTTTATCTACGGTTAGAGTTTATTATGAGGATCTACGTGAGCAGATCCAAGAGAAACCAAACATCGTTTGTCTCTTTGATGCACCCCATTACTCTGCTGGGTTCTGTGGTCAGGCTGCATTTAGTCCACAGCCCGTGAGAGGGAACCAGGCTGGCTGTATACAGTTGGTGTGGGGGTGGGAAGGTGCACAGGAAGGAAAAGAATAGGGTCATTAGAAGATGTTTGGCATGAAATGGGGCAGATCTTATCTTGGTGGATCACAGGGATTGTATTAAAATACCTTTCCTTAAATATAAGAAAAAGTGAATTTCCTTTTGGGTAGAATTGTCCATTCCCCAACCTGCACCATTCTTCATTTGCTAGGGGGGAGGGTAGAGCCCCCTCTCTCAGTCCAGGGCAGGACATTGTGGCTGTGATCCTGCAAAGGGTAGCACCAGAAAGATTCAGAGTCTGAAGTAGTGCCCTAGGTGCCATGAGGATGACCTCTAGTCCCTGACTTCCCCTCTGGGGTCCCCCTTCTTCCTCCAAAGGCCAACCCAAGGCTGGCATGGCTCTGAGATTGGGAGAAAGGCATGGGCTGCAATGGTCACGTTAAGAGGGGCCAGGAACCTCATTTCCTGCCTACCAATGAAAAACATCTCTCCCGCTCTTCTGAAAGTGGCTGATATGAGTAAGAACAGGCAGGAGGGAAACCCTTTGTGCCATTGACTCTTCCTCAAAGAATGGCCCTCTGGGGAGCCCTGTGCTGCTACCCAACAGGCTACCCGGTACCTCATTTGCCACCCCCTCCCCCAGGCAGTCTCTGGGGCCTTCTTGCTTTCATTTTCCTTGAATGTACATAGGAACAGGGGAGGAAAGTCTCTTACTGAAGTGCCTGAAACCCAGAGCTAGAGCTTCTAGAGACGCTCTTCTTCCATCTCCACTTCTGAAACTTCCCAGCGTTTTCTGGTCTCATACTTCAGCTTCTCAGAAAGAATAGAACTTGCTGTTCTAATTAGGTAGAAAGTGAGACTCAGTAATCAAACTGCAGCAAAAGGCAGAGAATTATAGGGAGACATGACTGTGTTTTAACAACCCAAATCTACTCTTTCAAACTGCTATAAACACACACCTTAGGGGACTAAGAGAGAGAAGCATGTTATTGTATTCCATTCATCAAAAGAGTGATGCAAAAATAAATCCGCAGAATATGAAAAGCTCGGGATCTCTCCCAAGGTACCGCAGGAAGGCTTACAGAGGTGAGATGGGGAGGATGGAAACAGGGACTGATTTTGTAGCTCTTCCAATTAGGATACCCGAGGAGTAGCATTGTGGTGAAGGAGCCCACGCTCTCTGTCAGATTCATCCGGTCTACACCTTTCTAGAGCTGCCCAGTGAACTCAATTCTTCATGTGGTTTCTTGGTCATGTCAGTTTGGGTGTCCTATTAGCCTGTTCTAGTTACTTGGGAATGCGCTACACTCTTTCCCTTCAGTCTAGCCCAGGTCCAGAACTCAGTTTGATCCAAACAGTCTCAAGGATTGGCAAGGGGAGGGGGGAAGCTTTTTTTTAAATCACTTTTGGTCACTGAATCTACCATTTTAAGAGTAAGATTTGCTTTATGAAAATCAATTCATTAATAAAAACTACATTGAAGTTGCAACACCATTTCATAGTGAAATATTTTGAGTAAAATTTTGTTGCTAGCATAGTCGTGGACAAAAGTTTTATCAGCAAAATGTTTGAATTACATTAATAAATAAGACAATGCTACTAGTCCTGTGTCTGTCCAGAATCTTCTCTGCGAGTTGCAGAATTAATCAATTTTTTGTCATAGTCGTACTCGACGGGAGCCAACAGTTGCAAAAATGTTCTTAGAGCAGATTTTCTGCCTGGTTTAGTTGATGCCACATGTGTGATATGACAGTATATACAGCCACACCCAAGAATCATAGGTAGGGAAGAATAATTAGCAAATTTGTGAACTGTGCCTAAGAATTTTCAATTGAGAAAAATAGATTCAATTTTCATAGAACCTACCTAATCTTCATAGTCTCCTATTGGTTAGCTTTGGCTCCCTAATGAAATTAGTTCTTTATGAAGCAAAAATGTATTTGTAAAAACTAAATTTGCATAACTCACTTTTGGTATAAAAGATCTTAAGTAAGACAAATCATTAAACTCACAGTTTTGGCAGTGTAAACAAGCAAAAAAAAATGAATAATTTGTTAATTGCTCAGTTCTGCTCTAGTAGTTATTTCATTTGTAGTTGTGACATGCTTTGTGTGTTGGTATAGATCCAAATGGTGGCTGTCATTAGCTAGTATCAGTCGTGATTCAGATGGTAAAATAGCAATTCCCCTTTAGGCCCCTCATTTAGGGCTTAGCCACTTGTTTGTCAGATTAGTGGTGCTTTTAAAAAAAATCATTTTGGTTCTTACTATGTGTTTTGTTGTTATTGTTTAAGATTGGAATTAGTTAGCTTTGTGCGTGTCCATCTGGGTTTGGTGGCCCATCGTAATGATGCTTGATATGCCTTGTAAATTGATTACTTGTGTTTACGTTTGCTATTTTGGCCACAAACCTAAACACTTTTTTTCTCTGTCCTGAGAGTATGTAATGTTGAAAGTTTGTTTAAAATTGGGCATAAACACTGGTTTAATTTGCTAACTTACATTAACTTATAAAATATATGTACTATGAATTAATATACATGTACATACACACTTCTTCCCTTATGACCCATAAGTAAGCTTCAGGTCTTGGAATTTCTTGGAAAGTTCCATGTAGCCCATAGAATAAAGAAAGCAGAAAAAAAAAACAAAAACCTAATCTCTATTTTCCAGGTGGCAAAATTGAGCCACAGCAAGAATCCACAGCGCTCCCATGACCATGCAAAAACATTGAAAGAAGACATAATAAATATATCCCAGTCCTTGAGCCTCGTTCCAAACATTGGACATTACTGAGTATCTTCTTCCCCTTTTCCCTGGCCTCCCAAGAGTACTGACAAGAAACCACATCCTGGGATAAAATCAGAAATACATCTGCTTAGAAGCCATAGCCTATGGGCAGGTTCATTCCTACCCCCCTCTCTAAACAGAAATCCCTATGAGTCAAAGTAGATGATGATATGCATAATGGCCTCCCAGCAGCACAATTAATCAGAAAGCTCTCAGGGGAGAAGTACAAAGGAGTTTTCACTACCAGTTAGAAATACTGATGAGAACCAGGAAGGACAGCTCTCTTAACTTGACAGAGAGGGACAAGACTGGCAACAGAGGCTAAGTCCTGAGTAGGTTCTCTCTCAGCCGCACACCCCTTCTCTCTTCTTAGGGATAATTTGTCAGGTCCTCAAAGATGAGGGAATCATGTCCATACCCAAGGGAGTCATATGAGTCACTTTTCCACTTCCCATCTCTATTCAGAGATCATCTCCCATTTATCAGGGAAGGCATTCTATGACCTTCTTAACAGTTTATTCCATTGAGGAATCCCTTTATGATCGCATGCTATTAACTAATGGAATCCCTCATCAAGTTCCCTAGAACATATGCTGCTTAATCTCATACCTGGCAGAGACAGACGCTGATCACTAGCTGTGCATTCTAATGAATTATCCCCTTTCATAGAGTAGGATTGTCACTGAGACATGGCTTCTTACCAAGGGGCTATATTTCCCAGACCCCTTGCAAGTCAGATGTGGTCATAAAACTGGGTTCTGGACCATGGAACGTGAGAGAAAGTGACATGCATCCCCTCCCAGGCCTGGCCCACGGAAACCTTCCAGGTGTCTCCCACTTCCATGTCTTTTTCCCTTTCTAATCACTGGGATGGAAATGATTCCCAGGGCAACCTTAGAAGTCACATGTTGTAAATGGCAACGTTCTGGAATGACCATGCGGAGGGTCACCCTACCGACTTTCTCCACATCTGTTATGAGAGCAAGAAAAATGTCTCCTGTGTTTGAGTAATGTACATTTTTAGGCCTATGTGACATAGTAGTTAATCTAATCTAATTAATACATATACATTACCTGGGCACTAGTTGTTAATTACAGTGAGAGATTTATAGGACATGTGATTGAGTATGCCAAGACAGGATTATAAATTCACTTCTACAGAAGGTAAAGCAAAGTGATCAGACCTCTCAGAATTTGTGGGGTTAATGTGGACAGGAACAGAATCTTTTCCTCAGCCACTTGGCTAGATGGCCAATTCAGGATCTTAATTAGATTTTTATCTATTAAAAAGCATGACAATGTACAACAGACTATTGATTTTACATTAATTTCATAGCCGAGGAAAAAAAGACAAAAATATTAATTAAAACCCCACCCTGTTCAGGTTGTTCCAGAAATAAATCCTTCTTTATGCTGAGGAGACAGCACCAATTAACTCTTATAAAGTGCTCGAATGGTTGCAAAGGGCAAAACAAGATGTTCAGAAAAATGTGAACTCTAGGACTCATTGCTATTTCTGGGGCATTTTAGTTTCCATTGCTTTGGTACCTCCATCTTAGACGAGTTTGACAAGTTAGAAACTGACCACAGTCATCTAAGATTTATTCTTTATTCAAAAACACATCCATGAAAAGCCAAGGAAGTACAAAGGCGAGTCTGCACCAACATCTTCCAAGACGAGATGGAAGCATCTCTGGTCTTTCCAGCAATTCCCACTGGTGTAATCATGACTCAACAGTCTGTTGCAATCAGGTGTGGAAAGGGGAGGAGTGACAGCTAGAATGCAAAGAAGTGTGCACAACCCAGAGCCATCTCGGCTTTGCCAAAACCCAAGTGCCCCCCTGGGAGTGTCTTGCAACATATGTTCTGTTGAGAAGTGAGGTTGCAAACCAGGGGGTTATTGCAATAAAAACCACTTGTGATGAACAAGAGTTGTACGTTTAAATTTATTTTTTTAATGTTTGTCTTCCTTACTAGACAATCAACTCTGTGAGGGCAGAGACTACATCACCACTGTACCCCCGCCCCTGACACACAGGAGGTACTCAATAAATATATGTTGTAAGGATGAATGGATGGATGGATGGAAGGATGGAGTCTACCCAGCTCCAGTGTGAGTAGGAACATTCTCTGCTATAGGCAGAGATAGTGAGAAAATAAAACACACAGACACATACAATTTTTAGCATTTGAAAAGTGGGATTGAATAAGGACTAATAAATCTTCTAGGTAATTGTACTTCTTTCAATGCCCAAGCTATATTTTTCTATCACTTTGAAACCCAAATTTAAATACCTTCCCAAAGTTTGTTTTGCTGGTCGGAAATGCTTTAATAAAAGTGTAGTCTCTAACTAGTCATGGCATCACTGAAGAAAGGATGTCACTTCCAGGCCCCAGAAGAACTCAAAGGTGGCAGGACCCAAGCAGGCACCATGGCTCCAAATGGACCAGCCTTACAGCCTCTCACTCCACCACTGTTCACTTCTTCCAGCTTGAAAGTAGAACACATGTTGACAAACTGGGTGGTAAGTGGGAGGAACTCTGGTCAACAAGAAGCTTGCACTGGACACTATAAAGCAATAGTATTTTACTGGCCACAGTGTGACTGGACTTCACTCTCTGTTCAGACATTGAGAAGAATTTTCTGGGTGGGCAAAGTACAAAAAAAAAAAAAATTCCATTGGTCACATTACCCAAAAAATAAGCTGACTCTAGCCTAGCAGCATCTGTCCATACTCCAGGACTCAGGCTTTGACTCTCCTGAGGCAAACACCTGGCCGTGCAGCTTGTCCTTCCATCCAGTCTACCCTTTGGGGTCCAGGCCCTTGGCCAGTCTCATACCCAATGCTATCCACCTCATTGCCCAAGTAGTATCACACTGGTGTAACAAGACATTTATCTGGCCAAGATCTCAGGGATGGGGTCAGGTTCAGTGGACCTGAGCATGCCCATTTAAGATGTTCAAATGTCTCCATCCCACCCCATTCACATGAGATGGCTCCTGAGTTATGCATCCCAAGAACCTCAGTTGGGAAATCTCTAGAGCAGATTCACTGTTGCTCAAGAGCCTGGGTATTGTAGCAGCCTGGAGGCAGGTTGTCCCTGATGTTCTCCAGGTTCTTCACATCAGCTAGAATCCCATCTATGCTCATCTCCAGCACATGGAGGTGGCCCTGCTGCCGACGTGCTCTCTCTTCCAGCTCTGACATCAAGGGCCTCAACTGGCTGTTGATCTGAGTCTTGGCCCGGAAGAGCTTCTGCTCCAATAAGATCAGCTTCTCTTCATCCACACTGCCAGGCTGACCTATTTGAGGGAATGAGAAAAGAGTTAATATAGAAGAGCTGTGGTTAGATCTCCTTGAACACACGTGGGCCCTCTAGACCCTTAACTAGTTCCTGTTTCCACCTGCCCAGAGGAAATGGTATGCCGTGCTTATTCTAGGGGTGTCTGACTGCCTCAGGTGGTGGAGCATGTGACTCTTGATCTCAGGGTTGTGAGTTCAAGCCCCACGGGTGGTATGGAGTTTACTTAAAATAAAAAACTTTAAACTAAAAAAAAAAATAATAAAAGGCTTATTTTACACTGGGATATTTTACATTTGGACCACAATATAATATAGATAATATAGAAAATGTTCCAAGAGCTCTAGCCTAGTTACTAGTTTTGAACAGCCCAGTTCAAACCTCTGAGCACTATAGTTAAGAAATAGGAAGCTTGGATTTCTCCTTTCACGTTGGGGCCAACAGTTCATGCTCTGAACGGATGAAGGCTGAAGGTCACTGGAGACTGAGTACTGTCCAAGGTGCCTGCCCCACACAGCTCACCCTCAGATCAGGACCAACTCCAAATTATGTTTACTGAACTACCCTTAGGAAATAATCTTGCTATTTTCCATTAGAAGACCTTTAGAAACTGGCTGGGCTTTTGGGTTTATAGAGGCCAAGGTATGCTTTGCTATTTGGGGGATAGATTCCAGCTGTTTGGAAATGATGTAAGACTTCATTCTGGCCTGAGACAGTGGGAATCTGGCTAGATATTCGTTTATTTCCCATATGAAATGTAGTCTTATTTGTTCAGGTATGTTTTACCCATACACAATCTAAAACTAATGTCAGCACGAAGGGCACCTGGCCAAACCTGTTTGATGTGCATAGGGTCTGGGTGGCCTTTGGTCAATTCAAACTCAAGGTCAGGTTGCCTCCCACATCGGAGCTGTGGTGATAGCATTTGCCTGCCCGAGTTTATTGTGCCTGGGGTGATGACATCGTGACTGGTCCAGGACTCCAGGGAGCAAACAGGAGAAACAACACCATAACAAAAATGCAGATCCAGTGGATCGGTCCTTCACTGAGGAGCAGGGGAGATTTCCAGCATTCGGGGTCTATGACATGCCGAGAAAGTTAAGTAAGCTTGGGAACAAAACCACCATGTCCACAGAGAGGCAGTACAAACTGCTCAAAAAAGGGGCAGGAGCATTGGCAACAAAGAGATCTCACTTTGAATCCCACCTCCACAGTTTATGTGATCCATGGGACCCTATCAACCCTTCTGAGCCTCAGTTTACTGCTCTGTGAGATAAAATAATAAAAGAAATAAAACCTGTCTCATAGGACCTTTAAAAGACTTAAGTGATATTGCACCAGAGAACACCTGGCAGAGTGCCTGACACCTAGTAAATGTTTAATAATCCCCACCAACTTCTTTCCCCCATGCTCTCATTTTCTCTTGAAAGGCCCTATTTGTTTCATTACCTTTTTCAGAACACTGAACAAAGCTGCTAAAAGCTCCACTGGGGAGTTGGGGTTTTTGGGTTTTTTTTTTTACCCTTAGAGGGTCTTTACTCTTTGGGGCTCACTGGACCACAAAGCAGACTCATTAGTATAACAACACAGACAATATTGATCTTCCAGGGTAAGTGAGGATGGTAGTCCACAGAAAAATCAGATTTTAAAATTCTTCAGCTAGGGCGCCTGGGTGGCTCAGTTGGTTAAGTGTCTGCCTTCGGCTCAGGTCATGGTCCCAGCGTCCTGGGACCAAGCCCCATGTCAGGGTCCCTGCTCAGCGGGAGTCTGCTTCTCCCTCTGCCTCTGCCCCTCCCCTTGCTTGTGTGCTCTCTCTCAAAATAAATAAATAAATAAAAATCTTTCAAAAAATAGTAAAGTTGTTCTACTGAACCTAAAATGTAGAACCAAGCCTTTTCCGGAATGTGGCTGGAATCTGTGACTGAATCCTTTGTTCCCTATCTGCAGCAGTCTACGCTTGATAAAACAGGCCGAATGAGGGTTTGCTATCAGTTTTACCAATCCTAAATGTTAATCCTCATCAGTTTTTTTTTTGTGGGGGAGGGATTCTGTGGGTAAATCTGAATTCTTGCCACCCTGTGCCATCAAATCTATTTTACTTGAAAATTTTGCAGTATCTCATGTACCTACTACCTTTACATTTCTTCTGGGCTATCAACCCCAGGTCCCACAACTGGTTATATCAGGGTATAACTGCAGGCTAGGGACAAACAGCAGAATCGACAAGTGACTCTTGACTTCACAGGCTGGGAGAACTCCCCTCTCACCATTTCTACTGCCTCAGAGCTCAGGCTCTGTCATCTCCCTCCTCGATTCCCTCCGCCATTTCCAAAGTGGTCTCACCCTGCCTTTTGTCTAACCAAGGCTGCTCCACTCACTTGTGTAACTCCACTTAGTGATCTTTCTGAATCTATGGGGATGATGTTATTCCTCTGCCCACAACTGCCCACAAGCTTCTCAGGACCAAGGTCAGAATCCTTAGCAGGACTGTCAAACTGTCCAGTCTTCTCTTGAGCCGTGAAGTTTGAATACTGCCTCCACAGTTTACTATGGGATCAGTGAGACATGATTAACCTCTTTGTGCTTCAATATACCTTCCCTAAATACACCCAGATCTTTGAGCTACAGACTTTCACCTCCAAGGGCAATAGGAACTCAGTGACCCATCTTTAGATGGTAAAATAGAGTCCAGAAAATGTAAAGTTGTGTGCCCAAAGTATCTGGGCTTAGAAATAAAACAAATTTCTGATACCCTTAAGGGTACTCTTAAGGCTTCCATTTATCAGGGCTAGGTCTAGCTCGCCTTCTGAGAGCAGCCCTGGAGCATGGGGCTGGAAGCTTGTGGATACTCCACATACTTATTAGGTGTAGGATGCCGTCCAATGAGTTGAGTGTGTCTTGGATCGTAGCTCCAGCATTCTTGGCTCTGTTATCAACTCTTTGGGCTTCTGTAATTACCTGAAGAAAAAGAAATACAAAGCAGTCTTGAAAGGGTGTCTCTCATACTGGCAGGTTTACAGGAATCTCCCATGGAGAACGATGGGAACTGACCATCTGCACTGCGTCCATATCCAGGTCAAACTCTTGCTCCTTTCTGGCCAGCTCTCCTTCCACTTCCCTCACCTCACTCTTCAGTGTGGCCAGTCCCTTCTCCATGGCCAAGGCTCCATCTGCTGTCACATTGGCTCCCAAGTTCAGGCTTCCTATCTCCTGGGAAGAGAAAGGGAGCCAGGGCCGGGAGGAGAGAGAGGGGTGAGGCACAAAAATGTCCCAGGGACAAAAAGAGAAAAACAGCTGCAGCCAGACCCTGCTGGAGTAAGTTAGATGAACAACAAGAGTCAGACTTGGAGACACACCCTTCTCCAAGCTCTGCTTCCAACAAATTAATTCGGGGGTATGTCTGTAGGGACTAGGAGGGTCAGCAGTGAGACACTGGGTCCCTCTCAGGTCAACGCTCACCGAAAAGTGAACGCAATAAAAACGATTTGGGAAAACCCAGAGGGTGAGAAATTCACATCATTTCCTGTCATAGCTCTTTGCTGCCACAGTCGTTTGAGCAACTTTACTGGGATCCTTGAGACAGCTGAGTTCAAGGCGCAGAGAATGAAAATGGGCAACAGCTGTGGCTCTTGTTTTTATTAGGACAAAGTTTATCAATATCTTTACCCATAAGCTGTTATTAAACATCAAATTGCAGGTATCTCTGTGCTAAAAGCCATATAAAGAGAGCCACATGAAACCGGTCTCCACCCTCAAGGGACTTAAAATGAGAAATTATTCTTGCAAATTACCAAGTGGTCCAAGAGTGAGGTCAAATAGTCCAGATCCTAAGAGTTTCCTCTGGGCTTTCTAGAGTTGCATAAGCTTTTTAGAAGTCATGCCTAAATGAGCGCTAAGGCGCTCTCTTCCAGCCGAGAAGCACAACCTCTACTACAGCATTTCCCATACGGGGTGTGTATCTAGTCTATCTCCCCCCATCACACGGAATGCTCTTTGAAGAGAAGTGCGAGTCGCCACCGGAAGCTAGGAATAAGCAGGCAAGGTTTCTACCCAAGAGCCTCCAAGGGACTGTGACTCTGCTGACATCTTGATTTCTACTTCTAGCCTCCAGAACTGTGAGAGAATAAACTTCTGTTGTCTTAAGCCATCCAGCCTGTGGTACTTTGTTACAGCAGCTCTAGGACACTAATACAAGAGTTGATACAAAAACCCAGACTTGGATGGTTCTTCTCATGGTATTGTCCAACAAGGGAGCGGAAAATTTAGGTTCTAGCTCTCGGTCAATGAAAGCCTTGTGACTCAACCAACAAAAGGGGGCACATAAGTGGCTCTGGGGCTGCCACGGACCACGACAGCCCTCTGAGATCTAGGGGCCAAAACGAGCCCAATGCTCTCTCTCTTCCCACACGACCCTTGCGTTTGGGGCTGCACGTGCCAACCTGCATTTCGATTTCTCTTTACCTGTTCTATCTTGTCAGTGATCTCCAGGGCCTCCCTGGCTGTGGTCTTGGCCCTCTGGGTGTCGGCAGCAGCACCGCCCAGGGCTGTTTCTGCTTGCTTGGTCTTGTCACTGGCATCTGCGACCTTCTGGCTGATGTAGGAGAGTCTCTTCATGGCCTCTTCTGCTTCTGCTTTTCTGTCTTCAACCTGCAAGTCAAACTCTGAAATGAAGACAAGAAAACAAAAGTGACTTGTGAAACATAACAAATGAAACTGAATGGGGCTGAAGTTTTTAAGAAAAATCCCAGGAAGAGGGTTATTACTGCCTGGGGGCAAGAGTGTGGGAAGTTGTGGCTGTTACCGCCCTTTCTTATCCAGCAGAAAGCCCCTTAAAGGAGGCACTGAAAGGGCCATGATTAGGCCGTTGCTTAGAGAAACTGACAATCAGCCTGCCCTGGGTTCCCACCACTGCAAGCGTATTAAGACCCCAAAGTAGACCAGAAAGAGATGAAATCTCTGAAGCCCAAAGTTTCAAGCCAGAGCCTTAAACCCGAAGCTGCCAATGATGAGAATTGGAGGTTGAACAGAATGGGTAGAGAGGTTCTTTCTGTGAAGAAAATCCCAAGACTTGAGAAATGTTTCTTTTTGTTCTTTACTGAAGAAACCTGAAATTGTAAACCAAATCTCTACAAGGCACAAACCCAGATTTCCTGGGATCCAGGTGCTGTGACAGTTTTTGCTCTATCATCACCACAAAGCAACCACATGGATTATATATTGGAATCAACCAGGCTACAAAAGAAAAGGGAAAAATATCGGTGTTGTAGTAGGATGTTGGATCTGTGAAGGACCTTAGAGATCCTTCTTTCTTTAAAGAAGAGGATGTTAGGGTCTGGAAAGGCTGTGACTTGCCTATGGTCACACAGTCTGCTCAGAGCCGTCATGCGGCCCAGCCAAGCTTGGAACTCAAGCCTTCTGACAGCTAGTTAAATTCTTTCCACTACATCAAATATCAATACAATTTCTTACTTTAGGAAGGTATTTATTAAGTGTCTGTTAATATCCCCATGTACCTATAATTTAGAGAGATACACAGGGACTCAAAATAAATCAAACTTGTGGTTATTCCTTTAACATACTCAAGTGACCTGGACCATGAAATGCTTACCTCTGAGGTTCTTTAGGATGTTCTCAACCTCATAAAAAGTGGCATTGCCCATACTTAGTGCTTCTTGGGCTCTGCTTTTAGCAAGGTTGGCACGGGAAAGCAGCTGATCTGATGTCTGTAAACCAGCAGACAGAATAAGATTAGAGTAAATGTAACATACACCTAGAAGGAGCATTCCGACCAGCAGAATCACTTGGACATATTTCTCTTTGTGACAACTGAGTGCTGTGATTCACCAGAAAGTCTAGGGGTGCTGTCGCAAAGCCCTCCACAATCTGGGACAGAGCAAACTTTATAAACCAACGACACATCCTGTATAGGGAACAGTCTCAAACGCCAGTCCACTATCAAGGACAAGTACAGTTTTGCAAATCATAATTTTATACTCTAGATACTTCCTAAAGCCAAGCTAGTAGAAAAAGCTGGACCAAAATTGAACTCAGGAGGCCTGAGTCCTATTCCTAGGTTTGAGGGCCGATTCAGTGGGTAGAACAGAACTAATTACATCAAGCTGTCTGTATCTCAGTTACTCCATCTACAAGCAGTGGTACCATGACCTTCAGAGAGTTTCCTAGGGTTGCATATTTATGGCCTCTTGCCATATTTATTCATATGGGAGGCATCCAGTACCTGTTGGTTGAGTGAATGAGTTAATAAAAGGATACCTGTCTCCCATTCTTTCCATTGTGTAAGAGCTGCTGGATTTCTTCTTCCCAGTTTCCCAGACTGCTTTGCACATGCTTGAACTCATCCATACGCCTAGTCACCAGGCTTGAGAGAGAGTCAGTTTTTTGTTTGATCCTCTTCACTTCCACCTGTGGGCCCAAAGACATGAAGGAGTCTGACTTTCCGCCCACCAGTCGCCACACCAGCCTTCTTAGGAGCTTGAAAACAACAGCAATCCAGACACAAAGTTTAATAGAAATGAAGCAAAATGCCTAATGATAGTCAGGTGGCAGTTTCCCCAAGCATCAAACAGGTCTTGTCTCTCTCTCTCTCTCTCTCTCTTTTAAATTTACCTGTTGGTTTATACATGCGTGGAAACACTTTTATGGGAATCACTGTGTAGCGCTTTTTGCATAGGCAGAAAGCTAAATCTTCTTAATGTGATACATTTGTAATAGTTAAAGGAATCAATGACAGAAACAATGTAAAACTTCTGAGAAAAACAAAAGTCTTCTGAATGGCTGTACATAGAAACGTACTATAGTTTGGACCCAAATGTAAATAGCAAGCTTTATCTCTAATAATTTCCCACAAGTTTCAGTAGTCCCCAAAACTAAGGAGGAGATATAAAATTGTTATCCACTCATAGGTTCAGGATGTGGGCTAAGGCTTTCTCAGAGGCAAAGACTGGAGTTTAAGAACAAGGAAATTGTTAACAAGAAGGATATTCTTCCTAATCAAACACAAGAAAGGTCCCTGTGGAGGAAAAGCTGAATGACCAAACCATGGTATGGAACCCCCAGAGAAGCAAGCACCATGGCCCTTCTTCTGTCCACCAAGCACATCAGTACATGCCCTCACCTGAAAAGACTGATCATTGACTCCTGGCAGCTGAGACACAGAATTGAGAAGGCGAAGACTATGCTGATAAGACCTTTCTGCTTCAGTGTCAGTCTGAGGGGCCTCCCCCAACAGCTGCTGGGCCAGGGACTTGGCTTTCTCCAACCTGCAGGGTGGGGAGAAAGAGAACTTTGAGGACTCACTCTTTTTATTAAAAGCAAACATTCATCTTGTTGTGTCAAAAGTATGCAGTTGGAGTTATCAGAAGAACCGAATGAGGTGATGTGACAGACACGCGTCCCTCTCCACAATCTAAACATAAGCCTTAACGTTTATACAGGTTGGGTTGGAAGAATTCAGCCCAAGTTTCCCAAGTCTTGATAATATATTCTTTTTATCTCCCCCATGTCGTCAGATGCATTTACTCAACCACCACAACTTCCCCAAGCATTGCAATCTTTCCGTCAAAACACAAGTTTTACTTAATCAGTCTTTTCTGATTCTCCAGACATAAAGGCATGTCCCTTCCCCCAAATTAACGCTCTCATTCTCTTGTCCCTTAGGAGTAATATCTTTTAATGAAGCACCGGTGCCCCTCGACCGTGGTTTGCACTACACCCTGGAAGGATGCGGATAATCTTGGCCCAGGTGAGGACCCGTCGAACATACTTTCCCATAAGCCCTTGCACCGCAGAGCCGTCCGGGCTGCCCCCGCCGCCTCCTTCCTGCAGGGCCTTGTGTGCCAGGGACAGTGCTTGTTTGGAATAGTCCTCGGTTTCCCGTACCAGCTGCTCCATGGTACTGGCTGACCCAACATGGCTGAAAGGATTAAAAACAAAGAATTGGAGTTTTCATTGCAAGGGGCTTCCTTTAAGTCTTTTATTGGAAGGAAGGGAGAGGAGTAAGGGAACTGGTTTGTCTAGAAAAGCCAAACAGAATCAACCCAGATTAGACGGAATTAGAGGATCTGTCAGGAAGCAGGAGGTGTTCTGGAGATGGAGCTCATGTCTTAGACCCTAGCTGGTGATCTTTTCCGTTTATGGCGTAACCAGGGCAGCAGGGTGTGGGGCGGGGAGACCGGTGCGAGCAGTCTCAGGGGGATAAAGTACTGCATTTATAAGCTGTTTTGTGCAGGAAGAAACACCTAGGTCTTATTTCATCCAGGACCCACTCCTCTCCCCTCACTTTTGCTGAAATTCTACATTGGGTCTACCACTAGAGGGGACAGAGCCTGCCAATAAAATCCCCCAAATGCTTACAAAGTGATAAAAACAAACAACAACAACAAACAAGCTCAGCAGGCAGTTTATGCTACAAAACACAAATCAACCTCCTTCACTGACTGAATTCCATCTGGGATTAGCAGAGCCTGCTACCCTGCTGAGCACTCGGCTAGGAGCAAACCTCTTTAACACGGTAGGATTTACAGTCAGGCAAGGACTAGGGAGCAGCCTGTTATCCCTGGGGTCCTGCAGAGCCGGTTTTGGGGAGGAGGTTCCCTCTCTGCAGTCTTGGCTCCCACAGGCTAGCAAACAACTCGTTGCTACTTGTTCCCAGGCTTGATGTGGGAGCCTGGGAGTCCCTCAAAGCTGCAGAACGTTCTTTTCCAAAGGCTGATTCATTTCACGGGGCCCGAAAAAGCACATCTGACACACACCAGAGCCATACTGTGAGTCATAGAAAAATCTGGGGTAAAAAACACCCCCACCCGCAACACTTGCCAAATGACCGTGCCCAGTGGCCACCTACACAGGCTAAAAGCCAAGAGGTTTAAAAAAATGGCTTCAAGGCAAGGAAAGGGCTGCAAAGGTGCCGAGAGGTAACGAATATATTGCTTAGGTCCTGAATACCCTACCGTCTTGTTCAAGTCTGGCCTTGCAGAGGTAGTCCGAAGCAGGGGCCCGCTTACCTGTCTGCCAATCTTGTGGCCTCCTCGGCCAGGCTTTTAAAACCATTTGGCCCCACGTAGTGCTCTGAGGAAGGAATGTTCTGTGGAAAAAGGAGAATTGGTTAAAGCTTTGCACTCAGCCCGGGAGCCTAAGTAGGTTCTGCATCTGTCCTGTTAGAACTAGTTGTCATTAGCCACAGAGCATTCTACACCCTGACACATCAAAAGTCCCTAGTCACCATGATCATTACATTTAAAAAAAAAAGTATAGACAAGAATAAAGTAGAAATCCAGGGCTCCTGGGTGGCTCAGTTAAGCGTCTGACTCTTGATTTCAGCTCAGGTCATGACCTCAGGGTTGTGAGATTGAGCCCCGCATTGGGCTCCCTGCTCTGTGGGGAGTCTGCTTGAGATTCTTTTCCTGTCCCTCTCCCTCAGCCCCTCCTCTGCTTGCTCGCTCTCTCGAATAAATAAATCTTAAAAAAAAAAGAATAAAGTGGAAATCCAATTTAAAAAAACTGTAAATAGAAATAGATTCATTAAAAAATATATATATGTTAATAGTATTTTCATATGTATTTAAAGTCAACAGACTATATACCAAGTTTCAATGATGGTTCTTTTTTTTTTAAAGATTTTATTTAGTTTATTATTTGAGAGAGAATGAGAGACAGAGAGCTCGAGAGGGAAGAGGGTCAGAAGGAGAAGCAGACTCCCCGCTAAGTAGGGAGCCCGATGCGGGACTCGATCCCGGGACTCCAGGATCATGACCTGAGCCTAAGGCAGTCGCTTAACCAACTGAGCCACCCAGGCGCCCTCAGTGATGGTTATTTCTTAATAATGGGATCATAGGGGATTTTTATTTATTTTCTAAATTTTCTACAATAAATATTATTTTTGTAATAAGGGGAAAAAATCAGTACACATTATTCTTTAAATCCTTCGTTTTGCCAGCATAAAACCTGATTATCTTCCAGGATCCTTTATTCATTTTCTACCCACCCACCTACACTACTGTCACCATCACCTTCTTTGCTGAGAAAGAGAGGAGGGCCCATTCAAATCTCTCCCTCCTATCACACTACAAACTACATCATTAAGAAAATCACGTTGGCAACAATTTTTTCCTCTTTCCAGAATCCTGTCTTCACTGGATTCCTTCCTTCTCCCCACCATTCCTCCCGTTTCATTTGTTCATGAAATGGACATTCACTCATTCATTCCTTCATTCATTCATGCGGCAAACATGTATCACAGCCACACACTGTGCTGGGGGCTGAGAATGCAAACATGAGCAAAACTAAATCCTGCCCACTAGGAGTTAACCAGCTAGGAGGTGTGCAGCAAGAAGGGAGAGGAGAGAGGGCCAACATGAGGTTATGGTTAGCAAGAAATGAGCTAGAAAGAAGATATAGGCAGTAAAATGGGAAACTGCAGGAAGCCCAAGAACACAAAGAACAGGTACGCCTGTTTCAAGGAAGAGAAGTTCAGCTCTCTACCGGGTAGACCGAAGAGTGTGAGAGACGGCGGGTGGGTGCCCCGATATGGCAGTGATCCTCAGTACCCTGAACCCAGCGACACCTACAGTGTTTCTCAGGGAGGCCTCGCTCTCCTCCAGGCTCAGGTGCATCTGGGTGACCAGTCTGTGAGTATCCTGAGCTCGGTCCTGATACTGACTGCCCAGGGCCCGGAGTCTTTCCATAGTCGTCTTGAGGTCATTGAGGCGGTTCCAGTAGCCAGTCTCTTCGCTCCTTGCCTTGACCAACTGGAGACTGAGAGATTTACTAGCACCTGGTGCCAACAAGGAAGAGGAGGATGAGCACTTCTGGAGTCAGCACAGAGAAACAGGACATGAGGGAGGGTTGAAGAGTGACTTTGACTGGCTAATGGCAAAATGGTAAAAACCCAATAAATGAATGCATGCAGCCACTCTCTTATCACCATCATTCAGGTCCCAGGAGATCGCAGACAGTCCTTTTCTCTCTCCAAGTGCTGGACAGAGACACCCACCGAGCTGATACCCGACAGAAGATTATACATTCCCTTCTGTCTAAAGGGCAATTGGCCTTCATCACCTTCTGAAATCTGGGCTTCTCTCAGAATGTCCTGAAGGGCCTGCTCAGCCTGCTGCATCCTGCCTTCCAGCTCTGTGTCAGGCACCACTCCGCCACCACCCTGAGCCCTTGAAACCAGGGCCTCCAGGCTCTGGAGCTGCTGCATAAACTGGTCCATCTGAAACCACACAGGAAAGAGGCTCAGACTGTGGGGATCACAGTCCAGTACCAGGTACTCAGGGGAGAACAGCTAAAAGCCCAGAAATGCTTGGCATGTCATGGTAGTTAAAGATGCTAGAGCCGAGAGTTTGAATCCTGGCCCCACTACTCATTAGCTGTCAGTGTGACCTTGGGCAAGTCACTTTCATTACCCTTTAGATGGGGATAATAATAATATCTCATAGTTATTACTTGGACTAAGTGAGTTAGTATTTGGATACTGCTTGGAACTCTGTCTGGAACAAAGAAAGTGCTATAGAGGGCAGGTTAAATAGAAGAGTCAACAAAAAAAACAAGTTGAGTTTGTTCTACCTTTGGGGTTCTGTTTGGGCCTTTTCTTCCTTCGCCCTTGACCCCAACAAAATAATAATAACTAACAACAACATCAATTTCATTCTTCTCTGGAATGTGAATGAGAAATTTCTGGAGGCCATTCTTGTTTGAGCAGCCTTGACACCTTCTAGACTCCTCAAATCTACATATTTACGTTTTTCTTCGTTAGTTTTACAAAGACATCTCTTGGAAAAAATCCAGCTAGGAAGTGGCATGTTATAAGTGGAAAGAGTACTGAACTGAGCAAAGTCTCCAAACATTTGCAATTTTTCAGTCACGTGGCCAGGTGGAACCAAGAATCAGGGAATTTTGGGTGGGACTCTTGGTTCCACCTGGCCATGTGACTGAAAAATTGCAAATGTTTGGAGACTTTGCTCAGTGACTGACTTCAGAATGCCTTCTCTTGCAGATTGACTAAGTCATCAAGAGTCCCAAATCAGACAGTATCTTCAAAAGGGATCTTGAAAATGGTGTATATAAGAGCACAAACCTGAAGCATTATTACTTCTATATGGAAATTTTTAAAGAAAGAAATAGTAATCTCCACCCTCATCGCCAGGAGACTAAGAGGGTCCTAGATTTGTGACAGACCCACCCAGTGGACACCTAACGATTTTACTCATGGGGGTGAGGGCTGGGTGGCATGCACACCTGAATCTTCACTTGATTATAGCAAGCTGGACAGCTGGTTAGTGCTGCATGCTCACAGGTGAGGCCGCCAAATCCCGGCTTGCAAACACAGCTGCCATCATTTCTACATTCCCCAGGCTCTGAGCCCGCTGGGTTGCAGTTGCAAGCTAGAGACAAAAGACAGACAAACAGAAAGCATTCATATCAAGCTAATTCTAGAAACTGGAGGGTATGGCAAAGATAAAAGGAAGAAGTTCAAGTGACCAATGGCAAAGTCACTGCACACTGTGCTAGATTCGTCTCTCGCCTGTGCCTCTAAGCACATTTCTTTTTTTTTTAATTTTTTATTGTTATGTTAATCACCATATATTACATCATTAGTTTTTGATGTATCTAAGCACATTTCTAATATAGATAGATCTTAGGAATCATCTAGAAGTTTGTTTGGTGTGGGTGTGGATAAAGAGATCCTACAACAGTCCACCCTTTCTGGTGGCACTTACTCTTTTTTTCCTCCCATTAAATTGTGAGCCTGTTAGATATTCTGTAGGCACTCTAGCTTTGCTCAAAAGGGGAATAACATGTCTTCTGGGCCTATTACATGCCAGATGTAATCTCTATCTATTTTACAGATGAGGACTATGAGCTCAGAGAGGTTGAGTAATCTATCCTAGGTCACACAGCAAGTAACTGGTAAACCGGAATGAGAGCTTGGAAAGAGGCATTGCTCTTTTCTTTTTGCTCTGCTGCCTTTGATGTAGGAAATGCAGTAAAAAAAAAAAAAAAAAAGCAGGACCTTTATTCATTCATACTGATTGTGTACCTACCACGTGCCACACTGTTCTAGGAGCTGAGGATATACCAGTGGGTGAGACACCGCACTAAGGGAGTTACGGTGATTCTCTGGGTTGCCCTATGGCGCTCACAAAACACTTGGCACACGGTAATATGATCACATATCTAAGTATACTGTCATTATTTGCTTACATACTTGTGTGTCTTCCTTATTAGCATATGATCTCTTTGGGGGCTGGAACTGACTTATGACCTCAGTATGTAGCTGCACATTGGGTCCATGGTAGTAGGTGCTTGACAACAGATGGTGGAGTGAAGAAATGTATGGTCTAAAGCCAGTGAAGTCTCTATTAATAGCACCTTGTAACTGGTATTCTATCCTTTACAGTGTACCTTCTCAGATGCGATTTCATTTTATATTTGCAACCACTTTGAGTTAAATATTATTCATCCGTATGAAGAAACTGAGGCTCAGAGAGATCAATTGGCATAACCAGTGTAATACAATAGGTATGGTAAAAAAACTAGACTTGAACTCAGTACTGCTCATAGCATGTGGGCTCTTTCCTTATCAGGGGGTACTTTCTAACACATCAGAGCTAACCCACAGGTTGGGGTTAGGGCAGGTGGGATTTGTGTTCCTGGGTGGAAGCCCCAGGTTAAACAGGGGTCCCCGGGCATTTCCAGGGCTGGGGATTCTGGGGTGAGTGGGAGGTGCTGGGCTCCCTGCAGACCTCCTGGGGAACCAGGAGCCCTCCCATCTGGGTGCCCAGAGGCCCTCTCTGGCTCTGTTATAATAAACAAGCCCCTGAATTCCGGGCACCAGGGCTAGTCTGGGACCTTTGTGACTGAGGGGTGAGTCTGTGGGGCAGGCCAGCATCCTAGAACTGAACTTGAACTTGCCTAGAACTAAACTTGCCTCCTGAATATAACATGTACAGAAGCTTGATAGAAGGGTCGAGCGAGAGGACTGATGTATACATTTACACTTTGATCCGAAGCAGCCCTAAGGAATGCGCCCTGATAGCGGTGAGGCTGAAGCCAAGTCTCATTAGTAGAACTTGGAACTGTTACCTTTGTCTACATCAATTACACTGATTTCCTGAGAGGGTCTTTTAAACTGCTGCCCACCCCCCCACCCCCACCCCCCTGCCGCATGTGTTCAGGCTTAGTCTCAAGTCGTTTCCTGCTGTCCTGGAACGAGCTTGGCAGCACTCCTGCCAAGCCTTGGAATGAGGCATATGGCCTGGCCCCATTCCATCTCCTCTTCCACTCAGGAATGTAAACTTGACCTTTTTCTCTTCTCCCGCCCAGCTTTAACCCATGCAACATCCTCCAGCTCTGTCCTCCAGAAGCCTGCTGCAGGGGTCTTAAGGCCTTTGACAGGTGAGAGGTCCAGACTGTTCGTAGGCCAGTTGGTCAGAGAAACCAAAGCGGCCTACTCTTACCTGCTGCTGGCCTCGCTGATCGGTAGTTCTCACATGTGTGCAAGCCAGTGAGCTTACACGTACCCACGTGCGTGCGCACCCCCCCGCAACCGGACAACCTGTCTGGGGATGCAGTCCTACCTCGACACTTGTCCGCCGGGTTGGGAGCCAACGGGTCCCCAAAGTAGCCTGCTTTGCACTGGTCGCAGTGGACACCTGCTGTGTTGTGGATGCACTTCAGACACCTGCCTGTCAGGCGGTCGCAGTTCCCAGAGGCACTGGGGTCCACGTTGTTGTTGCACTGACAGGGCTGACAAGGCCTCACTGGGCCACGTTCCCCAAAGGGGTCCCCAAAGTATCCATCGGCACAGAGCTCACAGCGGGCTCCTGGAAGGAACAAATGCCCAAGCCTGAGTGGTCATCTGCTGGCAGCAAGACCAGTCGCCCTTCCAGAAGAGCTTCCCACCCTGGACCCCAGAACAGTAGCCTCAGGGGCAGGTGCTCAGGGCAAGAGCTGAGCTCTTTCGCTCCACGGTGGTCCCCGATGTTAGAACACAGCAGCCCTGCTAGGAGGCTTCCTGCCAGTTAACTAGGTGGTCGGGGAAAAGTCAGATTTATAGCAATACCACTGAGGCTGTCGCTGAAGAATTAACTTTTTTCAGATGGGCCAGCAGAGGGATGTGCCTTTATTCTTTTATTTATTTATTTTTTTAATTAATCTCCACACCCAATGTGGGGCTCGAACCCACAACCCCGAGACCCAGAGTCGCATGCCCTACCGACTGAGCCAGCCAGGCGCCCCAGGAGAGAGATGTGACAAACTAAGTTTCCCTTCTGTTCCCTGGTTCATTGTGTAAAGCTTAGTTAAACCATGTATTTCGGGGCGCCTGGGTGGTTCAGTCGATTAAGCATCTGCCTTTGGCTCAGGTCATGATCTCAGTCTTGGGACTGAGTCCCGAGTCGGGCTTCTTGCTTAGTAGGGAGGCTGCTCCTCCCTTTCCTCCCCACTCATGCTCTCTCTCACTATCTCTATATGTCTCTCTCTCTCAAATAAATAAGTAAAATCTTTAAAATAAACCACATATTTCATCTGAAAACTTCATCTCCTAATGACAAACCTAAAACAACATTAACCATACGTACATCCCCTATAAACCATGCCCTGCCCTTCCTCCATCCACCCTTCGGGTGCATTCTTATCTTTAGAATGAGCTCTTCTACAGTAACCCTAAGTAATTATAATCCCCTAGAGACTGCTTGGAATAGCAGCCATTCACGGGAATTCATGGTGCCCGTGCGGGGGCAGCAGTGCGGGGCCTTACCCGTGACCCCCTGGGGACAGTTATTGCACACCACCTCCTCTGTCTCCGGCATGACAGAGCAGCTGAACCCGTTGTGGCAGGGACACGGCTTGCAGCTGCGGGGGTCGTGTGGGTCGTTGTAGAAACCGATGGGGCAGTCGGCGCACTCGATGTCAAGGTTTTCATCCCCTGAATAACAGTCTCCTGGGAGGCAGAGGAAGAAGGGAGGGCAGAGAAACGAGCAGGGTAAAACAATACACTTCCTGTAATATGGGTGATGCGTGGGAGGCAGAGCTCTGGAACCAAAACTTTCCTTTCTGAAGCTTTCCCCGAAGTGTCTGAGCACCGGCATTCACCTTTGCCCTAGTACCAACTCTAAACCTGGCCACGACCCTGACTCTTACGTGGCTCCCCCATGCTCAGTAGACCTAGCTTCCTTTCCCACCCATAATGTAACACGCCCCCCCCCCAAGGCCTGACACCATTTGTCCGCACATTCATTCAGGCCCTGACATTGCTTTTGATCTCTCCAAACAACTGAAACTTGACACCAACGACACCCCCAGCACTGAACCATGACAGCCGTCTCCTGTAACCTGGTACCTTTCCCACACCCTCGCGGCATGTTCCATAATGAAAAGGATTGAGTGTAATAAAGCACCATGTCCATCTTCTCTGACTCCAGCCCTACCTTCCTAATCCTTTCCCGTCTCCGAAATGAGTGCAGGCAGAGTCTTCCTTACACAGCTGTCTCTTGCACGGGAGACCCCAGTCACCTGACCACCCCCGGCCACCTGGGCCAGGTGTCCTTTCACGCACCTGTGTCTGGATCGCAGGCTCCTCCCCCCTGGCAGTTACAGGGAACACAGGTGCCAAAAGGTCCCAGTCTGGCAGAATCTCTTTTGTAGCCGGAAGCACAATCCTGGCAGAACTGGCCCTTGTAGCCAACGGGACACACGCACTGTTCGACCCAGGGAGCTGGGGCTCCGGAGATGGGGCGGGCTGAAATCAGGGTCACATTGTCGAGGTACCCAGTGCCTGCCATTCGGAGATCGGGTTAGAAAGAGCAAGTGGTGAGGTCGAAAGATCTACAGGCAGGCCTCTCTTTGGATTTTATTTTTCTTAACTCGCTAACAAAGACAGGTGGCGTTCACTCACTATGCCCTGGGTAGACGTACCGCCATCCGTCCTGACTGACGCACAGGCTGTGGTGTCAGGAAAGGCAGGGTTTAAATTTTGGCTCCACCCTCGCTAGCTGTGCGAATTGGGCAAGTCACACACAACTTGCTACCATGGTGTTTCCTCAAGTGTGGAAGAGAAGTAACAGTGGTATGGACCTCCCGTGTTGGTTATGAAATGAAATGAGACAATGCATATATTATAATGTGCCTGGCTCGAAATAAAGATTCAATAAAATTGTTAACACACACCTTTTCTACGTGCTGTTTGATTCGCTTCGTTAGTGATGTGGAAATTAGGCATGCCAGCGAGCGATGCTTCCTGTTTATGTAAGTGCTAAAAAGCTCGAGGAACTCACATTTACAGAATTCCAGGTGGGATCGGAGTCCCCCCATGTGAAGTTCAATAAAAGGAGTTAACAGAGTACAGGTGATGTCTGAACACGGTAGCGCCGAGTATAATCCCCAAGGAGCAGCAACTCAAGGAACAGAGGGCTGAGTTGTAGATGCCATTTCCTAGCTAAGGGGATAAGCCCATTTGTTGTAGATTATCTTCTTCAAATAATCAGCTTTCATCTAAATTTGGAGACTCTTAAGCAAAGGAGCATCATTCACTCTTCATTGGGGTTAACTTCTTTTTAGAGGAACATTACTTTTAACAACTTCTAGAGTATAAGAATTTAGACCCAATCGGAGACCCTCCATCAAAACCACCAAGTAGTTTACCTACTTGTTTGGAGACTGTCACCACCTCAGGAAGCTGAGACAAACTCAAACCTAAGAGAGAAATTAATTTTCCTTCGTCACTTACTGTATTCTCCATAAGTAGCTCGGATCCGCAGGGCTGTGAGGTTACGCAGTAACCTCCGATACTCGAAGTAACTCAGCTGGGGGCTCCAATTACTGTTTGGACGTTCATTTAATCTGAGGGATTTAAAGCCCAAAGCTTAAAAATACAACTCTTACCAAGTCTTATAATTTGTATACACGATATAAATTATATGCCCAAGAAGGTGGGAACCGCTAAGCCCCTTCATGGCCCTGCCTAGAGGGGGATGAAGGATGGGTAGCTGCATCCTTGTAGGCTTAAACTTGGAGTTTGCTCTCTCTGCAGGGAGCATGAACCCCACAGGAAGTGATGGAGGGCATCCCAGTGCAAGAAGCGCAGCCCCAGGGGTCATGGCATCCAGTGCTGGCCCGAGTCCTCAGAGACCACTTTCTATTCCTGGCCACACAAAACTTAATATCAGGAACATCGCTGAGTTCAAGAAGCTCTGACCCTCAAGAGAGCTACCATTAATTTTTGGTTTTGTTGTTTAAATGGTTGGTTAACTGAGCACATTTCACTTACTCTTTTCAAAAGTCAAGCTTTCACGTTCTACGTTGGACACGTCCAATACTTCTTCATTTAGCATGATGATATCTCATAGCATCATATCATCATCCCCTGCACAGGTCTTTCAAATGTTGTTCTGTTTTTTACTGGAATCCTTCCAGGAACAACCCAACTTCTTTTCTTTAGTTCACTGACCTCGCTTCTCACTGTATTCCTCTCCCCCACTCCACACTTCACTCATGCTTAACTACTTAGAATTTCCTAACGCACAAAACGTCCTCAAGCGTGATTATTTCCCCTGCCTTGCTCACCTTCCCCTCCCTCCCCTTTCTATCCTTAGAAAACTGTTCTTCACTTGTCATGTTTTCTTGGGTAGCTTCCCTTGATCGCTCCAATGTGGGTTACTTATGCCGCCTCTGTGTGTTCAAAATACCTATGCCCACCTTGCCTATCTTGTCACTTAACAAGCCACACTGTAATATTCTGTTTATTTTTTTCTCCCATTGGCCTGTCAAGGGCCTGAGGGCAGGAAGCACGTCCTGTTTCTGTACATAACACCATGTCTCGTTACATGAAAGGTGCTCAGAAAAGCTTGTTAAAAGAACGAATGATCGAATGCATGAACAAAGGAAGTGGACTTCAGTCACCTGACCCACTTGTAGTCACTCTTCTTACCTGAACGTGTAAGTCTTGGTGATCCCACAAGGCAGCGTCTTGCCCAGAGGCATCAACGGACCTGTGACCCGTAGACCAGCACCTTCCAGGATCACATCGTGGGCGGATGCGTGTCTGCCTCCCCTGTCCACACGGTAGTCAAAAGACAGGGTTTGCCCATAGCTCACCTGTTGATTCCCAAGAAATTTGGCTGTGAAACAGAATTGGAAAAGACTGAGATCAGTGTGAGCCTGGAGAAGTAAATGAGCTATAGCAAGTTTGCGTTAATGCTGGTGATTTCTGCTGGAGTCCTGTGTCATCAATGTACCACTATGCCCCCAACCACCCTTCCAGAAGAAGCAGTTCATGGATGGGGCCATCCTGCCACTGGCTACGAAGGAGAGTTAGTGACTGACATGTTAAAAGGGCCATGTTGTAAGACAATTCCATGTAGTAGATGATTCACAGCATGGCCCTGCGAATACCTGGGATATAAAGGTCCCAGGTATGTTGGGAATAGTACCATTTGTTCCATAATGCTTTATAGTTCACAGACGTCATTATGTTTGATGTTAATAATCCTTGGAGGAATTATTATCCCCACTTAACAGCTGCCAGAACTGAAATTTGGAAAGGTTAAGAGGACAACTTACCTGAACACCACATAGTAGCTAATGAAATGAACTACTAATACATATGTTTTTAATGTACAAGGGGTTAAAACTGAGAAAACCTTATTTTCACTTTTCTGCTTCTCAGTAGATCCACAGATGTGACCTCTGTCTCTCTTTCTTGTCTTGATGGAAAACCTAGAAACTTCCCATTTGATGAAAGTAGGAACCTCAGCCAGGGACTGTCTGCCTGGATACACAGTCCTGTTCTATTGTATCATGACTTTGTCAATAGGGCTGAAGCCCCAACTGTCTTCTGGAGATACTGCTTTTCTGAGCACCAGGTGATGTGGTTTTCACATTTGCTAACTCCATTTTTCTCTCCTGACTTCTAGGCTTATAGGTTGGCTTCTATAAGAAAAATACTGTACATACCAGGAGCGACAAAATAGACGGGGTCTGATCGTCGTGCTGAGCTGAACACGTCCCGATGATGCTGGGACCACTGGAGCTTTGCAGGAGACCCATTTCTTTGGATAGCCTTCCAGCCATCAACATCTGGAATGCAAATAAAACCACTCTGCATTTGACAGACAAACCTCATCGTCTACTGAGCTAAATAAGGCAACACTTGATTGCCAAAAAGTCTTAGAGGTGAATAGCTCATGGGGTTTTCTTAATAGTTCCACATTCGTGTGCAGTCCTTAAAATGTCCTATGCTCCACTCCACTTGGGTCTCAACTTCACCTGCTCCCACCCCACACCAGCTCTGACTTCTTTGCATCTGATTCTCATAATAAGAGAGCATGTTTTCATCTGCCTGTAGAGTTCATACTTTTATTTTATTTACATGCCTGTTTAGGGTCTGGCCTTTGTGAGTGGAGAGGGTCCAGTATGTTCCAACAGAAACTCAAAGTTGAAATCATGTCACTCTCCTAGATTTTTATGGGGTTTTGTAGCTTGATAACTAATTTCACATATATTAACTCATGGAAAGTATGTGAAAACAGTATTTTTTTTTAAAAAGATTTATTTATTTTAGAGAGAGAGATTGAGCACATGTGAATGGGAGGAGGGGCAGAGGGCGAGAATCTTTCAAGCAGAGTTGTAGGGTCAATCCCACGACCCATGGGATCATGACCTGAGCTGAAACCAAGAGTTGGATGTTCAACCGACTGAACCACCCAGGCGCCCCCGAAAGCAGTATTATTAATGAGTGTGAATTCCAGGAAGACTCACACAACCCCCCCCCTCAATCCAAATGAAAGACTCTTTTGTGGTTTTAAAATACATGGAGGTGGGAAGTGCAGGGAGATGAAAATCTGGTCTCTTTTTAGTTATTCTTTTAAGTTATTCATATACCAGTATGAGTCAGCTGTGCAGCTATGACTTTTTTAAGACGTTGGGATCTGCCTTATTGCCCAGACAAAATAATGTCCTTTAAAAGCCAGAAGAGAGTTGCTAAAGACTATGCAAAGGTCCCGAGCTGGGACGAGGAGGTTGTCTGTAAGCATAAAGCTCTATACAATGTTAAAAACAAAGTTCTAGAAACAGAACACTTTACCTTGAGAGAAAGTAGAGGTGATTTTATGGACACTGTAGTCTCCAGAGCTGTGGCAGTTGGCTGAATGCCCATAGCAAAAACACTGGGTACAGCCCTCAGGATTTCCCCCATCCAGGTGGTAATAACCTGGTCGACACCTGTGGCAGCATTTTAGAGAGCAGGACATTGTTAGAAGTTACTTCTTATTTCACATAGAGAATATGATGACTGATCTTTTCTACTTTCCCTCCTGCCTGGCCCTATTAATTCCCAGAACTGGGAAATACTAACTTACACATACCATCCCCACTCCCGACGGGATGGATAGTCACAACCCCACTGAGAGAGCATGAACGCTCACTTTTCTGTCCCTGTGGTAGAGCACGATCACACTGGACTTGGTGGCCTGGGAACTTAGTGATTTCCCCATCCCTGGTGAGGAACTGAATGGAGGTCACATGAGCGGGACAAGAAGGGTTGGGGCAGGGGGGCTGTGGAGCTGGCCCTGTCCTAGAGCAAGTGTTTAATGGGGGCAAAGAGTGGGAGGTGGGGCCCGGAAAGGAAAGACAAATGTCCCGGCCCCAGCACCTGCCCAGCTGTACGGACCCGCACGAGAACACTAACCGCTGCCCACCATCTCTGCCCCTTATATCCCTGCTCTGTCCCCGGGGGAAGGGTTGGGGGGGGTATGACAAAGAAGGATGGCTGGAGGCTCCCTACAAAAGCAAAATGTCGGCTGGTGTCCCACCCGCCAGGGGCTTGTCTGAGGACCACAGCTACCAGGCAAGTCGCAGATGTTGGGGTCACAGAGAAGAAAGAAAAGCCAGGGAGGAGTTGTTTTTCTCCATTCAAGTGAATTACATCCTTCTTCACGAAATAATAATAGTTTCAATAATCATTTATTTAGCGCTGATGCTATGCCAGGCACTTTGTGTATGTTCTCCAATTTAATCCTTGGTACAACCCTATGAGATAGGAGGTGTCATTTCCAATTTCTATTTATTTATTTATTTATATTTATTTATGTATATTTATTATTTATTTATTTATTTATGAGAATGCGAGAGCGAGCACTCCCAATTTCCAATTTTCTTAGAAAAAGACATCCAGGCCAGAGAGGTTAAGAAACTTATTCGAGGTCATAGAGCTGGTAAGTGACTGAGACAAGATTTTCAGACCAGGTCCATCTGCCTCTAAGTCATGTGGTCTAATCCACTGCCCCCTACGAGGGGGTCTGTTTATTGTGCAAAATTATAGAAAAGCAGATTAACTGTGAACAGTAAATGCTTCAGAGAACAGCTGTATATAAATAAGCATTGTTTTTTTTCTCTACAGAGCAAGGGCTTAAAAAAAAAATCATTATGGTTTCTTTGGAGGAAACCTGCAGATTAAAAGGAATTAAAAATCAAGGAAGGAAGAGGGGGAGGGGCCCAGAAAGCGAGGGGAGGGAATGAAAAAAGGAAGGGAGGGGAGGAACTAAAGGAAATCAGGCAAAACTCTACGACAGTGTTGAGGGATGTAACCGGGTAATAAATTATGAAGAAAAGTAAGGAAGTGATTATACAGAGGTCAGAACAGTGGTCACTTCTTGAAAGGAAGGAGGGTGTTGCCATTGAGATGGCACATTTTTAGTGAAGGTCTGTTTCTTAGAAAAGGTGGTGCTGACAACATTTGTTTTATGTAGTTTTCTGTTTCTGTGTGACACTTGGAAATGAAAAACCTTTTCAAAAAGCGACTCCTCTTTTAACACGGAAGCTGTGGTCCCCTCCCTCCACTGCAGCAGCAAAGAACCCCCTGGAAACACAAGCTGGGAATGCATCTGGTATTTTCTCTGCCCAAGTATAAGTGATTGTCAGGATGCCAAAGGACTGCTTTCTTACTTTTAAGGAAACGAGGAGAATGCCTTTACCTCTGCGCCCAGCCTCCCAGCTATTGTAGGGGAGGGAAGCGTTTTAAGTCTGAGCAATTTGTCCTTAAGGACTGTCCTCAAGCAGCCATGGAGGGTGGATCACTGCTTCCTGCGCCACCTGCCCCAGCATGGCCCGGGGCCCAAAGGGCTCTTACCGCTCCTCCCGGCTCATGTGTGTGCATGCAAGCACCATCCCATCCCTGGGCGTTTCCTTTGCTGCACATGATGGTTATATATGGCCATGTTTCCTCTTACTAGCATTTTCCCAACATGCTTAATTAGGCCAGGACTTTTCTGGGACCAAGCTGAATCAGGTGACCTCATCGTCGCAAGCCACCTTGTATGGGAGCACCTGGGATTCGGAGTCAGCTGGCAAGGGGACTCCCTGGGGCCCTGGGCCTCTGCCACCTTGTAAACAAAGAGAGGGGGCCCCGCAAAAGCATGGGGTCCAGGGAGATTTGGGGGGGCTCAGCTGTATTTTTTAAAAAAGCTAGGATTTTGAGGCCAGCGGGCAGGACAGAGGTCGTCTCTATTTGTTACGTGTCCCTTTTCCACAACTGCACTCAGAGGATGAATTCTCATGCTAGCTGCCAAGAGGCTCTCCCTGCTGTGTCCGTGGGGCCACAGTTCACACGGACCTGTCACAGCGCTCTCCGGTGACAGCTGGCTTGCAGACGCAGCGGCCCTCGTCACAGGGCCCCAAGATACCAGCTGGGTCACAGTCACACGTGGAGTCTCTGGGAAAGAAGACAAAGCAAAGTAGGGATGTGTCTCCAAATGCTTCCCGGCTAGCCACATAAAGATCAAGTGCTCCTAAGCAAGTGTCACCAACTTGAGTAAATCCTTCGTCTTCGCCGAGGCCCCTCTCGGCTCCTCTTGTCCACGCTCATCCCTCCCAGGCCCTTTAAGGACTCAGTTGTCTAGGCTCACGGTACTCTGAGGGTGACAGCTGGTCCATGAACTGCCTGCCACCTACCCTCAAGCAGAAGAGGGGCTGGCGCCAGAATGTGAGCCAAATCCATCACTAAACGGTTCGGTTTGGTTTGGTTTTAGTTTGGTTGACTGTTTGGTTCAGTTGCCTTTTTTTTTTTTTAATTTATCATTTGCTTCTCTATTGTTTAATTCACTGATGACTGCTTTCATTGTGATGGAGTCCATCTACTTGCTATTTTCGTTTATTTAGTTCTTTCTTTTCGTAACACTTCTATCAAGACACAATTCAGGGGCACCTGGGTGGCTTAGTCAATGAAGTGTCTGCTTTCAGCTCAAGTCACCATCCCGGGGTCCTAGGATTCAGTCCCGCATTGGGGTCCCCACTCAGCAGGGAGTCTGCTTCTCCCTCTCCCTCTGCCCCCCCCCCCACTCCTCATGCTCTCTGTCTCAAATAGATAAATCAAATCCTTAAAAAAAATTAAAAATGTTAAAAAGACACAATTCACGTACCATACAATTCACCCATTTAAAATGTACAATTTGCTGGTTTTTAGTAGATTCTCAGAGTAGTAGAATTTAGTAGAGTTTAGTAGATTCCTCAACCATCCCAATCAATTGTAGGCCATTTTCAACCCTCCAAAAAGAAGCTCTGTGCCCCTAGCTATCAGCCTCCCTTTCTCCCCCTAGCCCTAGGCAACCACTAATGTACTTGCTGTGTCTACAGATCTGCCTATTTGGAACATTTTCTGTAAATGGAATCGTACCATCTGTGACCTTTTGTGTTTGGCTTCTTTCATTTAGTATGTTTTCAAGCTTCATCCGATGTTATACTTCATCCATGTATCAATAATTCATTTTCTTATGGTTGAATAAAATTCCATCATATGGATAGACTACATTTTGCTTATCCATTCAACAGCTGATAGACATTTGGGTTGTTTCCACTTTTGTAGCTATTGTGAATAATGCCGCTAGGAGCATTTGTGTATATGTTTCTATGCAGAAATGTATGTTTTCATATTTCTTGAGTGTATTCCCAGGAGTGGAATTATTGAGTTTGGCTGATTTGTTGTTGTTGTTGTTGTTGGTTTTGGTTGCAAGACTTTCTCAATGAGGGAATCCATCAGTGTTTCCATTATTTAGTTTTGGTACAATCTCTTAGTGCTCTGGCTAATGACTAGTATCTCTCCGATGGGCACACAGTCATAGGCATCTATCTCATGGGTCTAAAACCAAATCCGTCTTTTCCCTACTGTTCGCCCCTCCTCTGACTGCCCTTTAACCCCATCCAAATCCTACCCAAACCTGGATGGGCTCCTCCTCCCTCTCACATTTCTCGTCCATTCAGAGTCCCGAGCTGTCAGGCTCCCTGAAGACCCCTTTCCCAGCCCTCCTCTTTCACCTGTGGGGCTCCCCTCTTGTCCTAGCCCCTCCACATGACTCAGCTGGACGCTTTGACAAACATTAGGCACTATCTACTGGTTGCAAAGCACTGAGGATGCTAAGAAATAGGATCCTGGTCTCTAGGAGTCTCCAGGCAGGGCAGAAACGTGAACAATGATGGCAGCGAAGCCTAAGGCCAGCTGGAACCAGGCGGCGGGGGGCCCCTTCTGTGTGCCTCTCCCCACTCTGGGCACTGGGGATGCAGTATGAACAAGACAAAGCCAACACGGGGCTTTCGTTCTGGTGGGAGAGGCAGTCAAACAAGATATGTGAAGTAACATCAGTCAGAACGTGGAGGGGTGGGGACTGGTCAGGGAAGGCCTCTGTGGGGAGTGGATGAGGTGGGGATGGAGCCCATGAGGCTCTCTGTGGCCCCGTAGGAACCAGGAGTGCTCAAGACCAGGGCCGAGGTCCCTTGCCTTGGCTCCTTTGAAGAAGGGAAGGCAGGCTTGTAGGACCGAGTGCAGGGGGCCAGGGGGAGAGAGAAATGCAGTGGGCGTCCACTGCTGGGGGTGCAGAGGGTGGAGGGTCTTGCAGAGCCCTGCTGGCCTGCAAAAGAAGTCTCCGTCTCATTCTGAGAGGACAGGGAGCTACTGGAGGGTTGCAAGCAGAGAAGTGATATGATCTACTTCATGTTTTAGAAGCATTTCCAAAGGCACACCCAGTCGAAGGAAGGGTCTCTGAAGACAATCTAAAAGGAGACGGGGAAGCCTGGAAGAGAACAATCTGTGCAGAGGCCCAAGGGTGAGAGAACTTGGGACAGTGGTAGCCAGGCCGGCGCCAACATGGAGGGCAAGGGGCTGGAAAAGGGGCCACCGGGAAGTGATCTTCTGCGGGCACCTTCTAGCTAACGGCTTTCCTGCAGAGCTCCCTTTCCCCTAAGCCATCCCGGTACCTGCCAGCTCTGCATCCCTTTGATTGCTTATGTGATTTATAATGTATGTTCCATCATCTTCCAGGAGAGAATTTTTTTTTTTTTTGAGAGAGAGCATGCACACGAGCAAGTGGAGGGGCAGAAGGAGAGGGAGAGACAGAATCTCAAGCAGACTCTACACCTAGCTCAAGCCCAACACGGTGCTCAATCTCACAACCCTGAGATCATGACCTGAGCCGAAATCAAGAGTGGGACACCTAACCGTAAGAGTGGGACACTTAACCGACTGAGCCACCCAGGTGCCACTCTTCCTGGAAAGAATATGACGTGCGATAGAGAATGCTTCAAACTAAAAGGTAATAAAACTGTGCAGAAACGTTTTTCTAGTCCAAATTCATTTGGGTCAAAATGGGTCCCAGGTAAGAATCTGGAGGGCGCTTTACCTCCATCCTCGTTCATCTAAAGCAGGGCAATCATCTGGGTGAAGAATGTAGGTTTCTGGGCCTGAATATTAGGTCCACCCCCGCCAGTAATATTGGGTAAACTTAACCCCTCGGTGTGTACATTTTTTATCTTCCACATGAGTGTGACACTAATCCTAACTTCTGAGGCTTACTGTAAGGATTAAATGGCATAACCCACGTGAAGTCCTCAAACAGCACTTGGCACACAGTTGGTGCTCAGTAACAGAAGTGGCCACGGATGTTAATGTCATTGTCATCCCTCATGGCAGAAGCTGCAGTGGGGCGTGCAGGTGCTTACGGTAGCCTTTGGTCTCGGGTGCACCCGGCGTCAGTGAGCGTGTGGAAGCCTGGCAGACATCGGTCACACCTGTCTCCTGTCACACCCGGCTTGCAGCTGCACCGTCCGGAGTTGTCACATCCAGCGCTAAGAGAACCTATAACACATGAGGTGGGGAGAAGGAAAGACGAAAAGGAAGTATTTAGTTTATAGGGCATTAGGAAACAACTGAAACCCCATGGGAGCTCACAGCCAGGCGTGGCTTCTTCCGGCAAAGAAATGGAAGTTACTCCTGGAAGCATTTGTACTTCTCTATCAAACATTAAGTAGTATGTCAGCCACTGCTTTTTAAAAGAAGGTTGTTGAATCCTTGAGATCTCAAGAAGAGGGACAGTTTGGGAATGACCGCATCAGCCTCCTCGAAGACAGTTAGTATGAGAAAGCGAGCAACATTTTCTCTTATTTCTGGCAGGCAAAAGCCATCTTTTAAGGGTCAGTGTGATTTTATTTATTTATTTATTTGTTTATTTATTTATTTATTTAGAGTATGAAAAGGCCTCCTAACCAGAAATATCCCTACCTACCTGGAGTAGTGGACATTCTCGTCCTTGGGGCATCACCCCTTCCCTGTGCATCTCACCCGGTTTAGTGCATAGAGCACTTGTCCTGTGATTGATTCTGTATAGACATGCTCTTACTTGTTAGTGGGCCCTCTTGGATTGCGAGTTGATGAAAGAAAAGAAGTGCTCAGGTTAGCAAATGCGCCCCTCCAGAACCCAGCCTCTTTATCAGACTGCCTCGCCCTCCCCCACCCCAGTTCAAGTCTGTCCTCTCTCCCTGGACCCTGCCTCCCACTCTCTTCCCTGCCTCCATCCTCACCTCCCTTCCCTCCTTTCATGCTGCTTTAACGATGGAATTCAGATTACTCAGCTGTTTCGTTCTCTGGTGGCTCCCCACTATAAGCAGAAGAAAATGCAAACTCTGTATCGTGGCCCACAGGACTTGACCTCTCCCAGCACATCGCCTACTCTCCTTCACTCCGTTCCAGCTCCCAGCTCCCCCAGCCTTTGTGTAAAATGTGCCAAATGGCTTCTCTCCTCCAGGTATCTGCCCTTGCTGCTCCCCCAGCTTGGAAGGCTCCTTCCCCAGAACTTCCCCCTAATTGGCCCATCCTCAGCTGTCAGGTCCTGATTTAATATTTCTTCTCTAGGGAAATCTCCTCTGACTCCCAAATCCCAAATAGCCATCTTGCAGTTCTGCTTACTCAGGATGACCTCAGCTTATGTTCCTTGCTCTGTCCCCAGGGCCCCAGTGCAGAACCCAACCCAAAGAGGATGCCCAGAAATCTGTTGGATGAAGGCACGTATGCCAAGAAAGAGGTCAGGGTTGTTGGGACAGAGTCAGAGGGGGAGCAAAAGATGAGCAGGAAGGTGGTGAGAGGTGTACCTCACCTACTTTGCAATCTCCCTGTGCTGGCAGAATTATCAAATAATCCACGTATCTCAACTAACCACGATAACCAGGCCACCCATAATCGATAAAGCCAACAGAACACTAATCAGTTGCTCCTTTCTTTGTAATCAGTTATTCTGTGAGTTTTTGATTCACTAGTAGATACAATTCCAATCAATAAAGATTTTGGCTCTGTGCTGATATAAAGGCTTGCTGCCACATGGGGAACCTGAAAGTAGCCACATTCACAGAGTCAGTGAAAGACGCCATGTCAACTTTGCAAGGCTTGAAGGGGCCCTCGGTGATAATGGTATAAACTACATTTTTTGAGTACCTACCACATGTGAGACACTGAGTTCAGTGCTTTATATATATTAGGAAATGCTATCTCCTAGTGAAATAAGAGCTGACAGAAGAATAACAGATCCATTTGTGGGTAACAGGGAAGTATCAGAGGCTCAGGAACTACAGACCCACAGTTCAGAAAGGCATCTCTAGGGCAATCTGCAGGATGCCAGAAGGGAACACCATTCCTTGGGAAAGGCATCCTCCTGTGACAGGATGCCCTGGATTGGAGGAGTCTGGGTGAGAAGAGGAGGAGGGAATCACTGAGAGGGCCATGTGGATGCAGAATGAACAGACTTCCCCTCTTCAGAAATAGACACTGAGGGGGTGGGGATCACATGATGACACCAAGGTCTCAACGTGCACCACTAGAAGCAATGGGAGGCTATTTACCAAAGAGACGGGGAAAGAAGGAGCAAGATCTTAGGTTGAAGCACCAAGAGAAGATCATGAGTTTAGTTTTGGACATTGTGAACTTGAGTTTCTGGTGGCATATTAAGGTGGAAATGTTCACCCGGAGCTCAAGAAAGAGGCTGGGGGTGAGAATCTAGGAGCCTTCAGCACACAGGCCGAGTAGGAAACCAGAGCAGGTGTAAGATCACTCTGAGGGTAGATAGAGAGAGGAGGGGAGGAGCCTCAGACATAAACGGAACCCCATTAATTAAGGGGCCTTTCATAATCAAAGCAGAAAGAAGTCTCAGGACACTGGAAGCCAAGGGAGCAGAGTACTGAGGGTCAAGAGAGCAGGAGAGTGGGAGTTTCAGGACCGAAGGCAAGAGAATATTTGATGAGATGAGCATGAAGAGAGGCTTCCTGGGCTGCCAAGCACAGACCTCCACGCTCCTGACCTACAAGCAGGCAGCCAACAGAGCTAAGAAGGAAAATTTCTGAATTATGCTCTGATAAGTAACATTCAACAGAAGATATCTCTCTTTAATACAACCCACTTGGTTTTTTTTTTATAACACAAATGGGTGTCAATCTGGGACTCAGAAACCCATTTTTTTTCCCATTCCAATTAATGGAAATTATGCTTTCAACCCAAGAAAATTCTCCCTACAGTTTTTCAGAAATGAATTCTTCTTAGAAAATGGAAAAGATTGTACTTGGCTTTTGGGTTTGGCCCACATAGACCAAAATGGTTACCCTGCAAAACACCCTTCTGAGAGAAATCAATAATCCTCTCATGAAAATAGGCATTCTGTGTTGAGAAAAGTTTGGGAAATGGTACCCCCTTGATCCCGCAGAGATTTATAACATAATAATACCTTCAGCATGGATCTTGTTTAAATTTTAATGACAGTATTTCTAAACATTATTTGACATTCTTACAGGTCACATCTATTATTATCTTGAGGAACATTGTATTCTACAGGACATTATCTAGAGAATCCTGCTCTAAAAGCTGGAGGGTCAAAGAGCCCAGACTTTGAAATCCAAGAAATCTCCCTTCGAAACCAGCTCTGCCACTTAGCTGTGTGTCCTTGGGCAAACGGCTTACTCATCAGTTCTTTTAAGGGAGGGTAACCACCTATGCCTTGTGGAGCTGTTGCAAGACTTTGGACTAAAATAAATAAAGTGCCTCATTCGGTGTCTCACACGTCACGGGCGTTAAAGAATGTAGTTGGCACTGCTCCCTCCGGCCTCCTTCAAACCTTGCAAAGTGAACACGGAGACATGCACAGGTCCTTACGGTGAGCATGACCACTTTATGTCACATTCCAAAACTTCCAAACTAATAGCACTGGGTTTTCAAACTCTCTTGTTAAAATAAAAACACCTGTCCCAACTCCTCCTTCGTGAGCTACTCTTAGGGATTGTGAACAAGTGGGCTGAAAAAACAGAAAACAGCTTCCTGTTTCAGTTTTGTGTCCCAATAAGCTCTTTTAGGGCTTCTGTAGATACGGTCTATGTGCATCTGAGGGCTCAGGAAGGTATGCTAAAATGAGTACTATTTACAAATTAGGGGCACCTGGGTGGCTCAGTCGGTTAAGTGTCCAAGACTCTTAGTTTCGGCTCAGGTCATAATCGCAGGGTTGTGAGATGGAGCCCCGTGTCGGGCTCTGTGCTTGGCGCGGAGTCTGCTTGTCTCTCTCCTTCCTCCTCTGTCCCTCCCCCTCCTCACCCGCTTTCTCTCTCTCTCTCAAATAAATAAATAAAACCTTTAAAAAATTAAAATAAAATAAATAAAAATTAAAACAAAAAGAGGATATGTCCTTTTGGGAACCCTTTAAATACATATCTACACTTGAATTTTAAAGTAACATTATTATATTTTTATAATATTATATAATATAAATATATAATTATAGTTAATAATGATAAATTATTATTTAAGATTGTTTCAAATAATTACCCAAATGTTATAGTCTGAGTAATTCAGGGTCATAGATATGTAAAAAATAATAAAATTAAGAGAAGAAGTCCAGTATCACTGATGTCCATACAGGTCTCAAAAATGTAGGTGTCCTGGGAGGAAAACCACACAAATACACACAGTGAATTTCAAAATATTTGCAAAAGGTTCTCAGGATTTACACATGTGCTTACAAGAGTTGAAGATAACTCAGCCCTGTGGCTGAACCCACAAAGTCATCCCTTAAAAATAAGCCTGGCTGCTATATCTATGAGAAATTGATGTGAAGTCCAAAATCTGTGACCACTTTGGGGATTATTAATGCTGTTGGCTGCACTCACCATACACGGACTGACTGCATTTTTTGGTAAGATGTGTTCCTTGGCATTTCGGATTGCATATACGACAAATTCCCTTGGAAGTGATAAGTCTCTCTCGGCTGACTGGGAGACTGAGAAGTTACACAGGGAATTAAACTTGCATCACCGGGCTAGTAATCTGGGCGGCCAGCATGTAGCGGGGGGTGGCACAGGGTGGGAACGGTCTCTGTCACCGACACGCCACTCAGCCTGGCAGCTCAGGCTCGGGAGCTTCACTTCTTCATCTCTAGAATGGTGGGTGGAGCGTGTTAACACATACAGGTTGTCAAGTTGTTACGACTACCGAAGAAGGCATAGTATATGGAAATATTCTGGAAAAAATAGACTGCATTAGCCAGATCTTAGGAAATAATATCCATGAAGTTTTTCCTGGACATCTAATTGTCTGCTGTTGGGGATAAAAGGACACCATTCTGATGCTTTTTACTTTCAGGTGGAAGGAGTAAGAGGGAACAGTCCTCCACCAGAGCCCTGGATTACAACTTTAGCCCTTGCAATGGCTTGTTGTGAAGACTAGAGGCCATTTATCCACTCCTCCAGGGCTCCGTTTCCCCACTATTTAAAAAATACTGAAAAATTCACTGCCAATTTCTGGATATTAATAAAAAAATAAAATGTTAATAAATAGTTTTACACCAAAGATATGGCCTCTACAGGCTTCCTTCTAAAACGGAATGTGATTTTTTAAAAAGCCAGTGTTCCAGGAAATTGCAACACTGATCTCTGTCCTAATAATAAAAACTCCATCAACTCCAATTTACTGAGTTGTCTACCATGTGCTTAACAAACCTCATGTGATCCTCACATGCTCTTGTGATACAAAGAGCATGGGGTTGGGGACCCTTTACCGATGGGGACACTGGGGCAGCAAGAGGAGAAGGGACATGCCCAGAGTGACACAGTGGAAGTGCCCAGGCTTGAACATAGGCTGTCTGGCTCCCAAAGCCACCACTAGTCTCTACATTATGATCTTGGACATCAGCGCACCTGGGGCTGGCACCCTCTCTGCCACTGAGCTCTATAAATACTTCGACAGTTTCCTTCATCTCCCTCTCTCAGCCCCTGCTACCTCATTTGTACAATGGAACTAATAATAGCACCTGTTTCATATGGTGATTTGTGAAGGTTCCTTCCCGGATGAAAGCATCTAGAAAAGTCCTGGCACACAGTAAGCGAGTAATGCATGTTAGTTATCATTTCATAAGCTAGAAATCATTGTTGGACTCCACCACTTCCTACCAAGCTGTTCACACTGAGCCTGGAATGTCTGTGGCCCGAAGGAAAAGAAAAAGCCAGGCTCGTGGATGCCAGGCGAGCAATGGACTATGCAATGAAGAAGAGACGGTGTGGCAAATCCTTCATCACCATCTCTCTGCTAAGCAGCAGGCTCCTTGTCTACTCTAAGACTAATAACTTTGTCTTTGGGCCAGGCTTTCCAGCTAAGCCAATTAAATTTCTAATTACATTCTCACTGATCATTTTGCTGGGACGACCCACTCCAGTGACTCACAGTGAAGCCGTGTAACCTAAAGGGATATGGGCTCTTCAGGAGGATTGAAAGCCCACTAAAATGGAGTCATTTTCCTTTTAATTTTTCTTTACGAAGTTCTTTGATTCACAGGGACAGCTGCTAAGTCCAAAAGATTCTGGATGCTTACTCTATAACCCAAAGCTGAGCAAATCCGACTCAAACCACACCGTAACAGCAACTGGAGAATTTGGAAGTGCTCGCTGGGATTTGGGTCTCTATCACCATGGGGCCATCCAACACCCTCTACAAGCAGCTCATGGCTGGACCAAACCTGACCATTTTTAGATTCTTTCAGCTGCTGCTGTGTCTTCGTTCCACAGAGCTACACTGAGTCATTGCCACGCACTTTGGCTATGCTCTTTAAGTCGATTAATATTTATCATATCACACTATTAAACGCTTTCTAACAAAGAGGAGAAACATACTGCCAAGAAAGAGAATACACAAATAACATAGTTTAAAAAAAAACTCAACTTATTTAACAACTACTTGTCTCTCCCTCTCTATATGTACTTTTTTTTTTAAGATTTTATTTATTTGACACAGAGAGAGAGAGAGCACAAGTAGGCAGAGAGGCAGGCAGAGGGAGAGGGAGAAGCAGGCTCTCCATGAGCAGGGAGCCCGAAGTAGTACTCGATCCCAGGACCCTGGGATCACACTCCGAGCCGAAGGCAGACGCTTAACCAACTGAGCCACCCAGGTGCCCCTATATATCGTAACTTGTCTTTGCTGTCCATGATGAATACAGCACAAAGTGTGCATCTGTGTGTGCAAGAATTACCCACAGTTGTGTGAACATAGCACTGGGTGACATATTTAAAAAAACCAAACCAAAACACAACAAAAAAAAAGAGCCCTGCTATCAACCAGTCCCCCTGTAGGTGCTTCCTATTTATTGATTCTATTTTCTCTTGTTAACAACCGTGTTTGTGAAAGACTTTAATCTGCCTCTTAATTGGGCTGTCTCTTGGACCAGTACCACTTTCTATTGCTAGCACCTACCACAGCCCCAGAAACAGATCTTTCTATCCCTTATTTTTTGAGAGGTTGGTCAAAGGCATAGTTGTGGATATGGGGAACTATCACCAGAAGCGTAGAAGCTTCCTTTGTCCCTAGGTCAAACTGTCATCTGCCGGGAAACTTAATCATGTGCCTCTTGCGACTAGAATTCAAGCCAACGTGTCCTAAAGACTCCAGCTGGTTCCTACAACCCAGACTTAAGAAAAACAGGTTTCCTTTCAGCTTGAAATTGGTAAGACACTACCACCACCAGTGTCTAGTAGATTCCCAGTTGTTCTAGATGTTGAACACCACTCTCTTGGCCTGCTGGCTTCTCGCTTCTCCCTTCCCCCCTCCTCCCCCTTTCCTTGCCCTTTTCCCAACTACTTTTTTTTTTTAGTATAGCTGACACACAATCTTACATTGGTTGCAGGCGTATAACACAATGATTCGACATCTCTATAGGTTAATGCTGTGCGCCCCCCAGGTGTAGCTGCTATCTTGCACCCTAGGACGCTATCACAATATCACGACTACATTCCCATGCTGTACCTTTCATGCCCGTGATTCCCTCGCTCCATCACTGGAAGCCTGTATCTCTCACTCCTCTTCGCCCATGTCGCCCATCCCCCCCATTCCCCTCCCTTCCAGCGAGGGTCAGTTTGTTCTCTGTATTTATAGGTCTGCTTCTGCATTTTTTAAAAGGTTTATTTATTTATTTAAGTAATCTCCACACCCAACATGGGGCTTGAACTCATGACCCCACGATCAAGAGCCACATGCTTGAGGCGCCTGGGTGGCTCAGTCGTTAAGCGCCTGCCTTCGGCTCAAGTCATGATCCCAGGGTCCTGGGATCGAGCCCCGCATCGGGCTCCCTGCTCAGCAGGAAGCCTGCTTCTCCCTCTCCCACTCCCCCTGCTTGTGTTCCTGTTCTTGCTGTCTCTCTCTCTGTCGAATAAATAAAAAAAATCCTAAAAAAAAAAAAAAGCCACATGCTCTTCTGACTGAGTCAGCCAGGTGCCCCTGATTCTGCTCTTTGTATGTTTATTCATTTGTGGGGTTTTGTTGCTGTTGTCGTTCACTTACGAGTGAAATGATACGGGATTTGTCTTTCTTGGTCTGACTTATTCCACTTAGCGTACTACCCTCTTGGCGCAGCACATCGTCCCACACATACCTTTGGTGTGACAGCTGCAGGGCAAGCAGCGGTCCCTCTCCCTCTGTCGGTAGAACCCGTGCTGGCACCGCTCACAGTGAGGGCCATCCGTGTGGTCATTGCAGTTGAGACAGCGGAATCCGCTCCCTGTCTGTCTGTGAAGCTCGGGATCAAAGACGCACTGCCTGGACTTCCCGTTGCAGTCACACACTGGGGGGCGGGGGGAGACATCGCTAGTAAAAAGCTCAGAGACAATACTATTGTTATTAATAGAAACTAGGCATGGGGTACCAAACATTCATGCCAACGACTTGGAGTTAGGTAAGGATGAAATGGGACGCGGACTGTGAGCGTCCTTGTCCAACCTAAAGAAAGTGGGAGCTCCACGGGGGCAGGGTGGGGGATGCTATCAGACAGAACATGAGCTCAAAGTGGCCCGACTGTCCCATTCCTCAAGAGACACCAACAATCTCACATGAGGTATTTTTATGTAAAAATTCCCGATTTACATATTTGCAAGGAGTTCATTTTTAAAACCCTGTGCAACCCCCTAGAACAAGCCTATGGGCTAAAGAAGACCTGAGGACCACCAGCGTGTGTGCCCTGGCACAACTGTCTAACAGCTGATGGTGTCATCTGTCCCTCCAGTGATGGTCAAGGCTGAGGAGCTAATATGAGTGTCTGGACAGGTATCTCTCTCCACCCCTCACTGTGCCTTGGGTGGCCCTCCCAGAGCCAGGTGTCAAAAAGAATCATAGCCCCATGAAGAATACATTTTCCCAAGTGTCCAGGAAAGTTCACCCGTTGATGTTCCAGAGACACTCCTAGAGTGACATCTCCATGGGGGACCTAAAAGCCAGTGAGATAACATGTGGAAATACTCAGCGTCGTTCCTGGTGCAGGGCAGACCCTCAAAAATTGTTTCAGTCACAGCTGAGAAGAGAAAGATGATAAACCTTGAGGTTAAAAGAATCGGATCCAATAAATACCAGTTCTACTGTTTTCTTGGGCAAATCCCTTCAACTCTCTGAACCTCTTTTCTTTTATAAATGTGGAAGGCATTCCCTGCCTCCCTGGATTGTTGAGAGGATCTCACTGAGAAAAGAACATCCAGTCCTTCACATCTGCTACTTCACTCACACAAGACAGGGAGACAGGCACTGCCTCAGAGGAGAAAAATGCCATTCAGAAAGGTTAAGTAACTTGACCCAGTGGAGAGCTGGGGTTTGAACCTGTGTCTGATGCCAAAACCCACTTTCTTTCCACCAGGCACACTGGACCTGCTTAGGGCCACAATTCACGTAGCGCACGGACAGAAAGAGTTGACAAATGGGACAACAACGCGCACGGAGCAGCTGTCCTGTGCGGGCCGTGTCAGGCTCTGAAGGCACAAAGATGATGAAGTAAACCCATGAGCTTCCTACTCGACTTCCTTACCACACACGCTTCCTACAACTCGCTCTCTAATCTGGGGAAAGTGAACTAGCATCTCTCCAGAGCCCACTCCATTTCTAGCACTTCACATGCCTCAGCTCGGTTACTTCTCACAACACTTCAACACGGGCTTTACTGTCCCCATTGACTGGATAAAGAAACTAAAGCTCAGAGAGCATGGATATATTGCTTCAAGTCACATGGCTAAATGGCAACCATATCATTTGCTCCTAGGTCTGTCCAACCACAAAGGCCTCTCCTTCCCATTTTACCCCTGCGTCTCAAGAATCTGGTTACCACTGGGCATGGAGGCATTCCTTCTAGAAATCCCTCACACAGGCTTCTCAGTCCCTACTCAAATCTCTCCACTGACAGCACTGGTTATTATAAATTATTTTTTTAATAAATTATAATTATAATTTTTTTGGAATTTTAAATCTGCCTCCCTCCCTGTAATTTTTACTATGCGTTCTTGTTCTTCCCTGGAAAACACACACAGACACACACACAGACACACACACACACACACCTACTCTCTTCTCCATTTACTTATTCTATATCAGACATTGTTTTACAAGCACGGGAGCAGCCGAACCTTTGACCATCTGAAGACAGTGACAGCATTTCCCTCTTTAGCCTTCTCTCCTTCTGGTTACACTGGAGACCTATCACCCCCAGGTCTTTCAGCCACTTCCCGTGTCATGATTTCTAGATTCTTCTTGACTGTCCTCCAAGGAACATACTCTAATTTCCCATGTCTTTCTTGAAATGGCCAGACTTTATAACAGTACACCAAGGGTGGTTTGAACAGCTCAGCTTGCAACACAACTGGATACTATAATTCCAGGGACGCAATTTAACATTTCATTAAACTCACAGCATACTAAGTTTGCACTCAATTCAGGCTCCCTGGTCTTTTTTGCCGAACTGGTGCCAAGCCAAATCTTTCCCAACGAATGCTTGTGTAACTGACTTTCTGGATCCCGAACAGATGTACCACACAGCTGTCATGCGCTGTGAAATCACCGAGTACATCGTTAGGCACGTACAAGAGCTAAATCCGGCAGCCAACGACCCTTGTGAGGTTACCCAGCTGGATGGCACCATGTGCCAGGGCCCTTTCCCGCTCTGGATGCCTTTTGAGGACAAACTCCAAACCATCACGACATTTTCATTGTGCCTCTCTTCACCCTGAACAAACTCTTTGCCAAGTTTATAGTTTATAATAGTTAACTTGATAAGGATAGCTCATGAAATACTTATTCAGAGCAATATTTTTAAAAATAGACAACCTGATTATCATCTAGCTTTTAATACCTCCCTCCCCATCTGTCGTTTCTCCTTTTGGGCTCACTCTGGGGGAAAAAAACAAACAAACCACACCTGTGTTCTTCCTTTAAATCTGCAGCCTTCTGTGGAGGGGCATGACACTTCCAGCCAGGGAGGTCAGCAGCTAGCAGCTCCACTCTGGAACTCGCCCACAGCTGAATTCCCCTCCTCTGCCCACCTGAGTTTCCATGAAAGCCCATGGTTGTGCTGACTGGAGTGAGGGACGCCTAGGCCATGTGTCCAGGAGTGTATTCGGCCTCCTGGGCCCATATGATGTGAGCACTTCATGAGGAGAGTCCCCAGCCTCGCCTGCAGGACTTTGAGGTTTCCAAGCTGCACCGAGTTCAGCACTTAGCCAAACTGCACTTTGTTTAATATTGACTCTACGAGGGGCGCCTGGGTGGCTCAGTCGGTTAAGCGTCTGCCTTCGGGCTCAGGTCATGATCCCAGGGTCCTGGGATTGAGCCCCGCGTCGGGCTCCTTGCTAAGCAGGAGCCTGCTTCTCCCTCTGCCTCTCTCCCTGCTTGTGCTCTCTCTCTCTCTGTGTGTGTGTCAAATAAATAAATAAAATCTTTAAAAAAATATTGACTCTTCAGAGCATTCACACCTGGAGGAGGAGGAGAGCAGAGAGTTTGTTCCTTTTGCACGGGATGACCCCTTTTGTCACTGATGCATTTGAAACAAGATCTTTCTCAAGTCATCTCCTGAATTTAGACTAACTTCCCTAAAACTAATTATTACTCACGCTCATTGCTGCGGGGATAAAAGAATCTTTTTATTTCAAATTCCAGAATATTCTTGCAATTGGCTCCCTAAAATGGGCCTCATACTGCTTGAGCCTGGTCCTTTTTATTCTGTGACCGATTTCTGCCTTGCCACGGGCCCGGGCACTCTGTCTGCAGAAGGGCACTGCCACGCCGGGAGCGAGGATGCAGGGGGCAGTGGGGACTCTGCCAGAAGGGCTCTCGGGGAAGCAGCCCACCATAGCCACGTGGGGATGCTGCCCACTGTGGTCGGCACTTCCACGTAGGTTTCCAAAGAAGACAGATATCTGGCTTTGTGTATGACATCTACTGATTTTTTAAATGGGGGCACAACAAATTTTTTTTAAATTTCTGTTTGCAATAAAGCTGTGTCCAAGGGCAAATCTTTGCACTTGACTCTGCTCTTCTAACAGGCAGAAAACATGGTCATGCTTTAGAAAAAGGAGAAATGGGGCCCTCGTCTAATGGAACAGTGGCTTGGTCATCGTGGGTATCTGATGTTTTTTGTTGTTGCTGTTGTTTGGGTTTTTTTTTTTAAGATTTTATTTATTTATTTGAGAGAGAGAAAGAGAGAAAGCACAAAGGGTGGGGAGGGGCAGAGGGAGAGGGAGAAGCAGGCTCCCCAATGAGCAGGGAGCCCGATGAGAGGCTTGATCCCAGGACCCCGGGATCATGACCTGAGCTGAAGGCAGATGTTTAACCGACTGAGCCACCCAGGCACCCTATCCAGTATTTTTTTAATGAACAAATGAATGAATGTTCTCTTGAACTTCAGGAAATCCCTAGATGTGTTTTGACCCCTGAAAGGACTCCATGTGTCCCCACATGTCTGGACCTGCCTTAAAAATACAAATACTAATATCTGGCAGTCTCTCTCTTCTCTATTCCTTGAAAGGATGATTTTCTCCACAGCAGCTCAGTCCAGAAAACAACCTTTCTTGGTAACTTGTAATACAATGCTTTATTTAGGTTAATAGACCTAAATATAAGCCTTGGCTACATTTTCAAACAGGAAGAAATTCTTAAAATGTTTATTATACTTTCCTTCTTTTATATTTAGCCTTGTTCAATTTCATGTCTAGAACTTCCTTTTCATTTTTATCTTATAATCTACTTGCTATCCTTCCAAATTTCATAAATAGGCTGTCTAGTTTCCATCAGGGAATCTTGACACAAAGACAAGTGATGGCAGTATAAAGACGGGAGTCTTGGACATTTCCTGGGTTGCCTGGGAAGCGTTTATCAAGGGTCCATTCACTCGACAAATACATATGGAGCATCTAGTATGTGCCAGGTGCTGTTCCAGGTACTGGGGATATGGCGGTAAACAAAACCAATTGCTGTCCCAGCCCTCATGGAGTTTTCATGTGAGCCAGGGGGAAAGAAAATAAACAAGGTAAGTAATACAGAGAGAATATTGGGATAGTGAGATTTGTTAAGGAGAAATACATAAAGAAGTGAAAGGAAATAGGAAATTGCAAGGGGAGGGGGTAAGTGAGGAGGAAGGAAAGGTTGAAAGTGCCATCAGCTGGTTTACTATCTTTTTTAAGATTTTTTTTAAGTAATCTCTACACCCAACATGGGGCTTGAACCCACAACCCCGAGATCAAGAGTCACATGCTCCTCTGACCGAGCCAGCCAGGCACCCCTGGTTTACTATTTTATTTCACTTGTGATGCTGGT